ATATATATATATATATATATATATATATATATATATATATATATATATATATATAAAATGAAGTTGGGGTACTTGAAATTCCTAGTAATTGAATATTCAGAGTTTGAAGCCAGAGAGATTTCGTTCCCTTTCTCTTTCCCTTGGTTTGATAGGACTATTATTATCCATCATTTAGATGGTGGCTTATTCATTAAAAAAAATACAATCCCTCTTCTCCCCTCACAACCTATTAATGCTAGGCCACATATTTCCTGCCTCCAGCTTTCAACAAAAAATGCTTACAGAAGGATTTAAGTTCCACAAAGAATGGACTAGGGCAGTGTTGTTGAATCTTTTCAGCACCAAGTGCCAATACGGGAACATGTACACATGGGGGGAGGGCAGCACCGGAAACAGGAAGAGCAGCTCCCCAGTGTGCAGGTGCACGTTGACCCCCTGGCTTCTTGTTTCCACCATGCATGCATGAATGAAGACCAACTGGCTGGTGCACATGCACATGCCAGAAACAAGAAACTCAGCTTCCCGACACGCACATGCACGCTGGAGGCTGCTCTTCTGGTTTGCAGCGCTCCTACATGCGCGAAGACCAGCTGGCTAGTGTTGGAAACCGAAAGAGCAATGGACGATGGCTGGCGTGCCCAGAGAGAAGGCTCTGCGTGCCATTTCCAGCACATGTTCCATAGGTTCACCATCATGGGGCTAGAGTTACCTGGAACTGCAGTCAATCTTTCTCTAGTTAATTAAATGATAATCCAGTCCCTTTTGTCAGCAACAAGGGCAAGAATGTGCAAGTGATATCATACTAGTCATGACATCAATATGCTAATAATGCAAATAGTGTAATCTACCTAAATTACCCAATTTGCTTAGTTGGCACAATGCAGGAAATCAGGCAAACAGTGGAAAATTCTGCTCACAGAAATCATTACTTATATTATGATTGAGGATTTTGTGTTGGGTTCTCAGCAAAACGTTTGCTACAAAGTTAGAAAATGCAGTAGTCTCTTTTTTTTTTCTTTTCCTTCTTTATATATTTTATTATGTTTTCATTCTATACAATCACATATTCACTGTGCTTAATCAGGGCATGTAACATTGAATAATAAACACGGCATAGAAAATGCCCTCTACAATACAAACCCAGTATACCACCTTGGCCTACCATACACCCTCTTTCAACCCCCTCCAACTTTCATTCTT